AGCAGTCAGGAGCTTGTGACTCCCTCTGGATTCAAAAAGACAGCCGCGGCCTCAGGTGCCAGCCCCTTTCCGCGCGCGAGCCCCTACCTCTGCGCTTTACTTCTGCATCTCCTCTGGCTCTCAGCGTGCCTTTCTTTCCTTCTAGTTGCAGAACTTACACTCAGCCAGCCTTCCCGTGGTTCTGGATGATGTCCGTTCCATCTTTTAGTTGTATTTTTGAAGTGGTTGTTCGAAGTTGGGGTCCAACCCCAGCAGGTCCAGGGGTTCCCAAAGGTGTGTACGGAGTCAGCGAAGAAGGAATGACACAGAGACAGCTTTCAGTTGATCAGCATAGTTGGGTTCTCTAGCTAGGTTCTGTCAGTTTTGTTCTTTTTTAATACATTATCCCATAGATGCTCCATTAACACTTCAACCCAAAAGTCTTAGATGATGTTCGTTCTAGTTTATCTTAACTTTTCATATTCCATGGCTTATATAAGAATACTTCTAGTGTTCAATTTCTTCTAACATAGGGGGATTGTCAGATAGAATTTTTGTAATAATTCCTAGTCTATATTATCAATACTTTTTATATGTATTTTTATAAATATTCAGGTTCTCTTTCATCTGTTGGACCGAGTTCGAGAGTCTTCTACCACTGCAGACAAAGAAAAGATTGAATCCGGAGGTGGCAATATTCTCATTCATCATTCAAGGGACACAGCAGAGAAGCAGTGGGCTGAGACATGGGTTTTAACATTGGCCGGAGTAGCAAGAATCTTCAACACTAGAAGATATTTACTGCAACCTTTAGGTCTATATATACATATATATGCTTTTTTTTTCTTTTCCTGGTGATACAGACAATTCATGATAAAGAAAATTTGGAAAATACAAAAGATTTTTTTTGAAATTCATATACAATGCTACTTCCCAAGAGTAATCTTAACTGCCAGTCTTTGTGTTAATGTGCGGTATGTGCATAGCAGTTTTGGGCGAGCATCAAGGGAATATAATGATGATCCAAAAATACACCATCTTTGCTGTCATGGGCATTTGAAAGAAGTATAACTACATTAAAAATGCAAAATTGCTACAATTATAAATGCTACAAAGGAGTGGTGCATTATGAGCTTATAATAGGTATTTAACCAGACCAGTGAGGTCCAGATAGTCTTCCCTAAGAAAGCATTATTTTATCTGATATTTCAAGGATATGAGATTTCATCAGGTGAGGGTAAAATGAAAGTTGAAGGGCCTTATTGGCAGAGAGAACATATAGAAGAGATAGAAGAAAATTGGGTGGGAGATGTTGAGGACCTTAGCATGTTTGAAGGTTTGGAATGAAAATGTGATTCCATATGAAGTTGTAGAGGTAGAGAGAGGCCAAACCATGCAAAACTGTGGAGGTCATGTTCATAAGTTAGAACTCCATCCAACAGCAGTGAAAAGCTACTAACGGTTTTAGTTCATATTGTGACATGATCAGATATGCAGTTCTGAAAGGTCACTGTGGATGGTATGAAATGGCAGCAAGGAAGGAAGGCAGGAGGACACTATTAGACTGGTTAGGAAGCTGTTGGTGCAGATCAGTGGTTCTTAACCAGGGCCAATTTTGCCCTTCCCCTTTTCCCTCCAGGACATTTGGCAATGTCTGGAGACATTTTTGATTGTCACAACTGATGAGGGACAAGTGCTGCTAGAATCTGGGGAGTAGAGACAACGGATGCACAACAAAGAAGTATCTAACCAAAACTGTCCATATTACTGAGATTGAGAAACGCCAGTGTAGATTATAGTACCTTCAATTCTGGTGGGAGTGATAGGGGTGATAGAAAATGTGAACAGAAATACTTTTGTACATAATTGAGCATACTATACATATTTTGTTTTTTAGTTTATTATTTTATATTTGACTTTTTTCTGTTTTTAAAGCATAAGCATATTTACTTTTTCTGTAGGTTTTTTTGTGTGGTGATCATGTACATTCTTTTTTAAAAAAATAACTTATAGTGCTTCATTTTTCATTTTAGGATTAACATATTTAAATCTTATGTACAATGAAATGTACCAATTTTAACTGTATATTTGCTGAGTTTTGACAAAATAAGCATCATTTTTAATACCTCCATAATAGTTACTTTATTTTAAAAGCTAAGAACTAATAGATATAGATTTAGATTTTTAGAAATGAAGACATTACATAGTTTGTTTTACGTTGATAATTTTTTATAATTTGAAACTACAAATGTTTTTTATTTAGAATGAAGTTCATATTTTTAACAAACGTGTAATATATAATTATCCTAGTCTTTTAGAAAAATGACTTTTTCCTAGACATAGAGCATATTAATAGAGGAATTGCTTTTGTTTAGCTATTTTGATAGTTTTTAAATGTAATTTGTCAAAGCTCTTTGAATAGTTTACTGAAAAAATCTTTTTTATTGTATGTAAAAAATTATACCTTAATTTTTAATTAAAAAAAGGAGAATAGAAAAGAGGCACAAAACTGGGAAGGTGTTATAGTTTGTCCTATATAAGCAGAGTAGTATTTATTGTTTCATACCAGATCTGCTTCTAGCTTTTTCTATTAATTGAGTGCTTCCTCAAAAAAAAAAAAAAAAATCAAGTATGGTGCCAAGTGGGTGCTAGAATTATTGGGGGATCTCTTTGTAAATTATATGTGTCTAACTACTATGCTGTACATCTGAAACTAATATAAAATAATATTGAATGTCAACTGTAATTGAAAAACATTTTTTAAGATAACTTTAAATAAATCAAGTCATTTATAGCCTTTCTAAGGCTATAAACCTTGATGATTTATATATGTTCCATAACCTACTTATGTTATTCTACTTTTGAAAATGTAAATTCCTCTGATTTTTGCATTATTTAAATGCAAGTATGTAGGTAATAAAGCAGCTCTTAAAGTAAAACTATCTGTTAACAAACCATTGGGCCAGATTGCTGTTAGGAATAAGGTCATTTTTGCTGGACTTCATAGAAACAAATTACACCTGGGTTCATTATGTGTTTAGTTGGTCATAGTAGTAGAGCAAGAGATTGAATTGATCAGTGGAAACCAGCAAGTACCATTCAGCTCATGCCTTGCTGACTCATTTTCATGTGAGGGAAAGAAATTTATACTCATTATTAAAGGACAGTCTATTTATTTTGTCCTGGTAACTATTATGGGTGAAAAATGTTTAAGAAAGTTATACAACTGCCCTGGCCAATGTGGCTCAGTTGGTTGGGTGTTGTCTTGTGCACTGAAAGGTTGCTGGTTTGATTCCCAATTAGGGCACATACCCCAGTTGTGGGCTTGACCCCTGTGGGGGGTTAGGTCATGCAGGAAGCAGCTGATTGATGTTTCACTATTACATCAAAGTTTCTCTTTCACTCTCCCTTTCTCTCTCAAAATCAAGAAAAAAATCTTTTTTAAAAGAGTTGTATAACTATAAATTATTTGAATATGAAAACTAAAGTTTAAAGTTTAATGGAATGTCAGTTTAACCATTTAGACATATAAAATAAAGTTTCATACTATTATAGCTTGTAACTTTTCCAATATATTTAAGAAAGATAACATCTTAATCATTAATAAAGGCAGATAGATAGACTGAAGATGTTACTAAAAAGCTTTTGTTTTTACCCTCTTAAATTTTTTTCTTTCTCCTTTGGCAAAAGTACTAGGATAGAGTATAAACATGTATACTTATGTTTATAGAGTTTTGTTTTTAAAACCAAAACATTGTTTGATATACCCCATTATCTAATCTCTTCTTGGTGCCCTTTGTTCCTGTATCTGAAAAATAATTTACTGGATTTTTCAGGTTGTAATGGTTTTAATTCACATTATTAGTAACCTTAGTACCTATGCAGTTTTTCTAGTTCCATAGGAATTTAAGCAGAAAAATAAAGCAAATAGATTCTAAAGGGTCTAATAGAGAACATTTGTTCACTTTTATGGTGATATATATATATTTTCTCTTCTTAAATAGGAGACTTTTCAAGAGCATGGGATGTTCTTCTTGACCATATACAATCAGCAGCACTCAGCAAAAACAATGAAGTATCTCTGGCTGCACTGAAAAGCTTCCAGGAAATTTTACAGATTGTGTCCCCTGTCAGAGACTCAGATAAGCCTGAGACACCGCCTGCAGTTAATGTACCTGTGTCTGTCCTTGTAGCTCTCTACCAACATATAAAAACTGGTTTCAACATGGATGACCTGCAAAAATTGGGGGTCATATTGCACAGTGCTGTTTCTGTCCCAATAAGTTCAGATGCATCTCCTTTTATTCTTCCATCTTATACTGAAGCAGTTTTGACAAGTTTACAGGAAGCTGTACTTACAGCTTTAGATGTTCTCCAAAAGGTAATAGAATTTTAATGGCTATCTAAACAAAAATGCATGTTTTTTTTCCTTTGCTATGTATTTTTTTGGTAATTCTGGATCATTAAGATTGTTATGAATATATAGTTGGTATAAGTTCAGGATTGTAAAGATCTAGTTATTTTAAAAACGTGTCATTTTCTGGTAATTCAGGTTTGTTTTGAGAGTCGTTAAGAAACTGCCTGCATATTGTTTCTATTCACCAGCATTTTTGGTTTATTCATACATCTCTTTATAAGAGGCTAATACTTTTTGGAATAACAGCTTTTGTCTGGTACTTATATAATTAGAAAATTAATAAGCAGTGGGATTACACATATATATGTTTTTATCTGCAATTAAATCTAGCTCTGGAATTCTTGGAAGCTTATTTTAAAAAAAGAAGGATAAATTTATAAAGTGTTTTACAGAAATTTAAGAAAGTTATATTTTTACCTATGTGTGTTTTGTTACTGCAAAAATTGTATCAAAACAGACCTAGATATCATTGAATAAATTCCAATTAGCAAGTAACACCAGATCAAAATCAAATAATTCTTTAAACTGTAATGTAATTGTTAGTGCAATTCACAACAGCCAAAATGCTGAGGAACAAAATGCCAACTGAAGAGACAGCAATTCCCGTACAGTAGCTATGACATACTAGTGCCTGGTGCAAGGCTTCATGAACATTGAAAGGAAATTAATTAGAAGGTGGCCAGCGGGGCGGGACTGGGCGAGACAGTCTGGACACGCTCCGGAGCCACCCTCCCGCGGTCCCTCCCTGGCAGGCTACACCTGGGCCATCTGCACCTGGGGCATTACTGCAGCTCAAAGGGCATCTGCAGAGTGAGCGAGGTCACTCTGGCAGGTGGGTCCCTTGGCCTGGCCTGCGAGGATCGGGCCGAAACTGGCTCTCTGACATCCCCCAAGGGGCCCAGATTGCAAGAAGGCAGTTCTTAGGTGACATACCCTGGAATCGGGCTCCCTCCTCTCTGGTTCCAGGGTGCGTCACCAGAGTACCGCTGCTGCCAAGTCACCACAGCTTGGCAGCTCCTGCGTTGAACATCTGCCCCCTTGTGGTCAGTGAGTGTCATAGCTACCAGTTGGAGTGCCTGCCCCTAATGGTCATTGCGCATCATAGCTACCAGTCAGACGGTCGCTTAACCTTTTATATATATAGATTAGAATGGAACTAGTACCTGATTATGCATCTGTGATCCGTAACCATTTATGTACTGTAAATCATGTTTTCCATTTAACTGATTGCACATATCCAACTGGAATGATGAACATTTTCATATGAAGAATGGTGGTTTCTGCTATATGGCAATACCTCTTATTTGCCTCTGGAAGAAGTCTAGCTGAGCAGTAATTCTTTATCTGTTTAACCCTATTATACAGAGAAATAAATGATGTAGAAACTTAAAATTTAAGAGAATCTGGCATTAAAAAATTTATTGAAGGAATATCAGTTTTCCACAATTGAAATCAAAATAGCTGTTTTTAATTGTAGTGGGGGGGGAATGTAGGTTCTCAATAATTACTCCCCCCCCCCTTGCTTGATCATGCTCATAAATCACTCATAGACTGCTCTAGAGAGAATGGAAAAGTAATTTTATCAAAAAAGAAAAGAAAAGCCACAGGCCTTGTGGGATGCCTATACTCTACAACTCTCATTCAGATGTTTGATTCAAACTTTTATATATGTGTAGAGAATAAAAATAAGGAAGAAACAAAAAACTCTCTTCAAGAGAAAAAAGTATATCATTAAAACAAAACAAAACAAAAAAACAGACTCTGCTTTAGCAATAAGACAATAAGTGGAATCATTCATCCCAGTTACTAGGAATTTGTTCTGAGCTTTGAAAACAACATATACCTTCAACCTGAAACTTAAGAAGCTTTATATTGTTCATTTATATCAATTGATATTTTGCATTGTTAATTTTCACTGTACCCATTACTTGAAAATAATATAATATGGTAATCTTCAATATTTCCTGAGAAAATTTTACATATTTCATGATCTGTGAGAATGTTTTTATATTTTCCTCCATGGGTTTTGGCAAGTTTTTGCTTTGGGATTTTATCCTAACAAACTATTCCGCAAAACATTTTATTGATTAAAAACTATTTTCCTTCCTAAAGGAAAAACTCATATTTTTAAAAAGATTTTTAAATTGATTTTTAGAGAGAGAGAAAGGGAGAGGGAGAGAGAAACATTGATGTGAGAGTGGAACATCGATTGGCTGCCTCCTGTATGCCCCACACCAAGGATCGAGCCTACAACCCAGGCATGTGACCTGATGGGGAATTGAACCAGCAAACCTCTCTGTGCTCAGGATGATGCCCAACAAACTGAGCCACACCGGCCAGGGCAGAAAAACTCTTTTTTTGATTTCCTATTTACCCTTATATTCAGGGTCACAGTCTTCTCTTGGTTCTCAAATCACTAGTTCCTAACTAAATTGTCTCAGTTACATATGCTAATTGATTTTTTTCTCAAGACATTTTGGCATACATGGAGGACCTGAGAATTTGATTATCTGCTTTTATTAAGTTCTGAGATCAAGGGACTGCAACTGTCTTATTTATTGCTAAACTTCCTAAAGTCAGATGGCTAGATAACCTGTCTCCATCGTCTCAGTTGCTGGACTGGTACTCCAGGAAACAGCATCACATTGTGTGTGAAATGGTGCCTTGGAGTTGTTCAGTGAAACCATGTCTTCTTACAGGGGCAAGTTTCTGAATCTCTATACTTCAGATGCCTCATCTATAAAATGAAAATAATCTATAATTTTTTTCCCTATTAAATGGGATAACATTTGTAAGATATTTAGTGCCTGATACAGTTAAACATTCAGCAATTGTTTAGCTGTTACTATCTTCGTCATCAGTTTCTCTAGCAAAGGCCTTAGAACATGGTAGGTAATGAATGAATTATTATCGATTACTTAATGAGAGAAACCTTGAACCGTACCAGAGGTTGGATGTCCAGTTTTTGGATGTCTTGTTTTCATATACACAGTTTTTAAGAACTAATAGGAAATATTCTTCAGATTGCTTATTGATTCTCAGTTTGGGTACTAAAATCTGTTATCAAGTTTATATTATAGGTTTTTGTGATATATCAACTTCAGAATACTAAAGAAGAAAAGCCAATAATAATTTTCTTTATATGGAGTTTGTTGTTAAAAAAAAAGTTGACTTTATATTATACACTTTAAGATTCCAGAATAGCTTTATAATCTACTATAACACTACTTATGTTTTATTTTTATAAAGGAACACAGAAAATCCCAATGCATAGTCAAAATCATTATTTGGTGCTAAGATACTTCCAGAGAAATTGTGATACTTAGTTTACTAAGTTATCAACACAGGTGCTTTTTTCCCCCCCAATTATTGAAAATAATGCACTTAGGATAATTGTCTCTTTTCCATAGTAATTACTACTTGTTTACTTCTAAGAGTTAAGACTTAGCAAAAGGTTAATGAAGAAGGTGAAGCTATTAGAAGTAATTAATAGAGAGAATTTTTTTTCTCACCTGAGGATATACTTTTTATTGAATTTAGAGAGAGGAAGGAGGAGAGAGACAGACAGACAGACAGACAAATAGAGATATTCATGTGAGAAACATCGATCAGTTGCCTCCTGCCTAAACCAGGGATTGAACCTGCAACCCAGTTATGTGCCCTGACCTGGAATTGAACCTGCCACCTTTTGTGAAAGGGGACAACATTCTAACCAACTGAGCCACACCGGCCAGGGCTAGAGAACATTTTTTTATAATTCAGTTTCTCCATTCACTATTTCTGGCAAAAATAGTTAAATATTGAGACATGGTGTTATTTTTTCACATTGTAATTATAAAATGATCTAACTTAGCTATGGGCAGCACTTTGCTTATCCACTTTCTATCTTAGGACAGTTATAGCTAAACTTTCAGTTACAGCTAAATGGCTATATCTTCTCTGAGAGAAAATGAAACTAATCTATTGTCTGACAGTTAAAAAGCCACGGATTACATACAAATATAAATGTTGTAAATATCTTTTTAAAGAAATTCCTTAAAAATTTGAATGCTATGAATTTTGACTTAGTATTTTAAGAGTAGAGGGTAGAGTGATCATGGTTTTTTTTTGTTTTGTAGAGCACAGATATATTTTAGGCATTCTATAAGTAATATCATTAAATATTTTTCTCACAAAGATAGATAAACACTAAAACAGGAAAATACGAAAGGTTGAGAGGAAAATACACATTTGTGGCTAGAAAAAAATAAAAACATAAGATTTATTTAAGTACTTTTGACATATTTGAATTGATAATTAAAATCTGCAGTGATAAGATGGGCATTTTATTCTGTTTTATAAAATTATTTGTAGCAATAAGTTTATATTAAAATATTGTATTCTTTAAAATCAAGTCTATATTCAGGTATATTAGACATTATTAAATATGTACTACCCTGCCCTAACCGGTTTGGCTCAGTGGATAGAACGTCGGCCTGCAGACTGAAGGGTCCCAGGTTCGATTCCGGTCAAGGGCATGTACCTTGGTTGCGGGCACATACCCAGTGAGGAGTGCGCAGGAGGCAGCTGATCGATGTTTCTCTCTCATCGATGTTTCTAACTCTTTATCCCTCTCCCGTCCTCTCTGTAAAAAAAAAAAATCAATAAAATATATTTTAAAATATATACATACTAGAGGCCTGGTGCACAAAAATTTGTGCACTCGGGGGGGATCCCTCAGCCCGGCCTGCGCCCATTTGCAGTCCAGGACCCTTTGGGGGATGTCCACCCCAGGGGATCAGGCCTAAGCTTGCGGTCAGACATCCTTCTGGCAGCCAGGGAGCCCTCGGGGGATGTCCAACTAAAGGCTTAGGCCCCCAAGGGAGCTGTGATGAGGAAGCTGGGGTGACAGAGGAGCCACTCTGTCCTGCCCCGCCGCCCTGGGTCAGGTCACACACGGGACACTGGGGTGGGCCGGTGGATCGCTGCTGCCCTGCCCAGCCGCCCCGGGTCAGGTCACACAGGGACGCCGGGGTGGGCCAACGGATCCCTGCTGCCCCAAATATATTTTTTTCCATCGATTTTTTAGAGGGAATGAAACGGGGAGAGGGGAGGGGAGAAAGAAATATCAACATGAGGCACATCAATTGGTTGCCTACCATGTGCGCCCTGACCAGGGCCTGATATTGAACAGCAACTGAGGTATGTGCCCCTGACTGGCAATTGAACCCACACCCCTTCGGTCCGAGGGCAGATGCTCCAACACACTGAGAAACCCGGCCAGGGCAATATTACACTTTTTATTTTTAAAAAGTTTTTAGTTGATTTATACATTTAGCCTATACTTTACTCAATAATAGTTTTAAAAAGCTTAAATGTCCTTCAGGGCTTATAAAAGATTGTATGATACATAAAATAGTTCAGTTTTTAAGATTATTTGGTTAAGCAAATGCATGTAACAGTAAAGAACTTAATAGAATTCAGATTATGCATTCTGCTGTTCATATTTTGCTTTTATAGGCTATCTGTGTAGGACCAGAAAACATGCAGATAATGTATCCAGCTATATTTGACCAGTTACTGGCATTTGTAGAATTTTCCTGTAAACCTCCACAGTATGGACAACTGGAAACAAAGCACATTGCAAATGCAAAATATAATCAGGTAATTTACTCTAATTATATTTACTATATAAGATTTTATGGCTGATAAGTACAAGTCAGTTCTATTTAAGAGGAACTCTGATTACCTCAGAAGTTTTTCATTCACATATAAACTTTTGTATGTCTGGTCACAGTTTTAGCCTAAAAGAAATACTATGTATAGAATCTTTTCTGTGTTTCTTTTTTTCTTGCTTATGATTTCCATTTCCCAAATGGTTCTCTAGGAAGTTTGGCCTTCCATGTTACGCTATAGTACATCTTCTTCAAAGTTCCTTTCTTGGCTGCCCCAGCCCACTATAAAATGACTTCTAAATCCTTAAGCCTAATCTTTCCTAAAATAGATAACTACAATGCAGAATGAAAATATCTGTGTGATTAAATAAGAAGTCTACTACTGGTGTGAAATTTAGTTGGATTTTACATAGAAGATTTTTATAACCATAATTGGCAAATTTTAACTCTGTTTTGGCTTAGGAGAAAAGTAAATTTCTGAATGCATGCACATGCTGATTTTGTTCACACAACATAAAAATTATAATTTTACATGGTCCGAAAAGTAGTTTTAATGTGTATTAACTCTTTTCATTCTATTTGTCTTGCAACACAATGGAATCACAATAGATCCAACTATTTGCACCGGTGAGTTAAATTTCCTAAAATTGTCCTAACCTATTGACAACAAGTACATCTTTTCCAGTTCTTGATAGAATGCTCTATGTGCTTTTCACAATAATTTTGATTTTTGCCTGGCTGAAAATTATTATCTCATGAAGTACATATCTCTTTGAAAACTTTGCATGTAATATAATCTGACATAAAACCAAGGCCTGAACTTTAAGACAAAGAAGCTTTCTGTTTGAAAGCAATACAATTTCATTTAATCTCATTTATTTTTAATTCCATGTGAAAATATTACTTTGTAGGCAGAATGGGTAGCCTTGAATTATGTACCATTTGCTGAAAGGTCTTTGGAAGTTGTTGTGGATTTATACCAAAAAACAGCCTGTCACAAAGCAGTGGTGAATGAGAAAGTACTCCAGAATATCATTAAGGTATTTCTTTTAAAAAAAATGTTTATACTTTTATTTGATAATGACAGTATTATTGAAGTAACCCTTTAGATAATAATGTTTTATCATATATTGAAAATGCAATTTATATTATTACTTTTAGTGACTTTTCTGCAGTGTTCATGGATAATACTTAGAAACCTATTTATCTGAAGTGTGAAGTTTTTTAAATGAAAACTATTAAGTGAATATGCATTAGATTTTTTGCAATTCCTAAATTTTGTCACATAAGACAATGAGTTGAGGGTCCTGTTTCTTAGGATGATACTTCTCATACTTTGATGTTGAACATTCAGGGAGAAATTCACAATTCAGCCCATTGATTTAATTTATCATGCATAATTTTAACAGTCATTTTTACTTTTCAATTAGAATAGATATACAATGTTATGTTAGTTTCTGGTGTTGACAATTATTTTAAAAATTCATCTCTTCTTGACTGTGTCCATTCCTCCAAAAGCTTATTTCTTGCTTTTTCCTCTGTCTCTCTCTGTCTTCCTCACCTTTCCCCTCTCTCTAAAAATCAATAAAAACTTTTTCTTTTTTTAAGTGCTGTTACTTTTTCAGGGTCACTGGAGATAGGATTTAAAAGTATATTTTTCTAGGCAGTAGAATTTGAAAACTATAATGGAGAATTAGTCTTTCTAGAAAATAACATCCTTCTTTAAATGAAATGCCTATGCTATTATTTTTTCTCTTATAATTAAAAAAAAAAATAAAGTTGTATGTACAAATTTTAATGAATACTTATCTTAAATTGTCTTTATTTTCACAGACCCTTAGGGTTCCTCTCAGTTTGAAGTATTCCTGCCCTTCTGAAAGCACATGGAAACTGGCAGTATCTTCTCTCCTCAAAGTTCTTTCTATCGGATTACCGGTTGCCCGGCAGCATGCTTCTTCTGGAAAATTTGACAGTATGTGGCCAGAACTAGCCAATACTTTTGAAGACTTTCTTTTTACTAAAAGGTCAGTTAGGACAATCTTTAAAGAAGTGTATACTATGCCTGTAATTTCTTTAAAAACAGTATTTCTAATTATTCGTTAAAGTAATTGATTATTGAGAATCATAGCTTATATACAAAGCACAGCTGGATTAGGCATTTATCCATTTAGTACATCATCTGTGAGCAATGGAGATTTTGTACTTTACAATTATTTCGGTAGTAAGATAGGAATCAATGTATATAAAAGCCTAAGCAACCGTCCGACTGTTGGACCATTGGACCGTTTGACCAGTAGCTGTGACGCGCAAGACCACTGCGGGGCAGATGCTCAGTGCACAGGCATGGAAATATGGAACAGACTGATGAATCTCAGAGGGAAGGGGGGAGGAGGGAGGGCGTGAAGAGATAAACCGAAGATCTTAGATGCATACTAGAGGCCAGGTGTATGGATTCGTGCACTGGTGGGGTCCCTCGGCCTGGCCTGTGGGGATCGGGCTGAAACTGGGCCTGGTGCACAAATTCGTGCCCTGGTGGCCTGGCCTGCAGGGATTGGGCCGAAACCAGCAGTCCAGACATCCCTCAAGGGGTCCCGGATTGTGAGAGGGCACAGGCCAGACCAAGGGGCCCCGCCAGTGCATGAATCCATGTACTTGGCCTCTAGTCCAGTGGTTGGCAAGCTGCAGCCCCTTGAGTGTCCCACAGCCAATAAGGAGGGAATATGCTAATTGCTGCCATGCCCTCAAAGATGGCGGCACCCACAGCCACAAGATGGCGGCACCCAGTCCCCTCAGCCCCACCAGGGCGGCAGGTGTGTGGCAAGGCCAGGCCTGCCCCCAGGTGGGCCTGGCCACACTATGCGCCTGCCTCCGGAGTCCCCCAGTACCCTTAGTCCCCCAGCCGCCCAGAGCCGCCCGAGGCTCAGGTAACCAGGGCCGACTGAGGTTTGCACTGCCGGCAGTGGTAGCAGCAGAGGTGTGATGGGGCATCGCCTTCCCCTGATCGCCGGGTCACCTCCCGCCTCTGAGGGCTCCTGCACTGTGAGAGGGGGCAGGCTGGGCTGAGGGACCCCCCTCCAGTGCATGAATTTTCATGCACCAGGCTTCTAGTCTGTATATAAGACTATGTGAATGCATCATAATTAAAGAACCATGGTTTTGACTTGATGAAGCCAAGAAGGTCCATTTTTTAAAACCATTTCCATTTGGCATTACACAAAGAAAGCAATTTTAGAAAATCAGTATTTTACCAGAATAAATATGATCAGTGGCAGTAATGATCAGCTCTTTAATATATTTAGGTTTGGCTGTTCCTAAACAATTAAAAACATAAATATAGTAGTCCCCCTTATCCACGGGGGTACATTCCAAGACTCCCTGAAACCACAGATAGTACCAACCCAATATACTATGTTTTGTCCTGTACATACATACCTAAGATAGAGTATAATTTATAAATTAGGCACATTAAGAGATTAACAATAGCTTATAAGAAAAAAGAACAATTACAATAATATACTGAAATAAAAATTAGATGAATAAGATTTTTTAAAAGATGGTAGGTTTGGCAAAGAAAAATGGAATTTTCATTGTGTGATATTCAACTGAGGGCATAAGTTAAGGATGCTCTTTTGACCCCTCACTGAGAGTGGGATAATTGGAACACAGACTAAATATTTTGAATAAGGAATCTGCTGCTGTCCATCTAGAGCTGTACTATCCAATGCAGTAGTCACTAGCTGTGGTTAATTAAAATTTTTAACTAAGTAAAATTAAAAGTTCAGTTTAGTCTCACTAGCAAGGTTTCAAATTCTTATTGCCATATGTGACTAGTGGCTGCCATGTTGGACAGTGCAGATTATTGAACATTTCCATCCTCACAGAAAGTTCGTTTGGGCAACACTGATCTAAAATATGACATTTTACTATCAATGAACTTATGTAATAGCTGTGGATAGCCAGGTAGTCTTAAGTTTTACATCTAATTTTCCTTCCCCCCCCGCTACAATCTAATTGATGAATCCACAACAGAATGATTTAACTGAAGAGATTATGTTTTATAATGTTGTTATTTAGTAAAAAAAAAAAGGTATAAACAGAAAGAGACTCATAGATACAGAGAACAAACAGATGGTTGCCAGATGGGCATGGAGTTAAGGAGCTGGGTGAAAAAAGTGAAGAGATTAAGTACAAATTGGTAGTTACAAAATAGTCATGGGGATGCTAAGTACAGCGTAGAGCATATAGTTAATAATCTATAATAATAAAAGTATAATATGCTAATTAGACTAGATGTCCTTCTGGACAAATCAGGGGCTATGAGGGAAGCCCGGGTCCTGGATGCCAGAGGGAAGCCAATGCCGGCAGCTGGGGAAAGGAAGGCCTACTCTTGCATGAATTTCATGCATCGGGCCTCTAGTATTGTAATAATTACGAATAGTGCCAGGTGGGTAATACTAGAATTATGGGGGATCACTTTGTAAAGTATATAAATGTCTAAACACTATGCTATACACCTGAAACTATATATATAAAAGCTTAAGCGGCCATCTGACCTTTTGACCATCTGACTGGTAGCTCTGACTTGCAGTGACCACCAGGGGGCAGATGCTCCAACCAGTAGCTATGATGCGCACTGACCCCCATGGGGCAGACGCCCAACATAGGAGCTGCTGAGCTGTGGTGACTTGGCAGCTGCAGTTCTCAGGTGACACACCCGGAACCAGAGAGGAGAGAGCCTGATTCCAGGGTTCGTCACCCAAGAACTGCCCTCTGGCAATCTGGTACCCCTCGGGATGTCAGAGAGCCGGTTTCAGCCTGATCCCTGCAGACCAGGCCAGGGGACCCCACTGGTGCATGAATCCATGCACTGGGCCTCTAGTATAAAATGATATTGAATGTCAAGTTTAATTGAAATATTAAAAAGAAAATGCCCTGCCCAGTTTTTCTTAGTGCTTAGAGCAGTGATGGCAAACCTTTTGAGCTCAGCGTGTCAGCATTTTGAAAAACTCTAACTTAACTCTGGTGCTGTGTCACATATAGAAACTTTTTGATATTTGCAACCATAGTAAAACAAAGACTTATATTTTTGATATTTATTTTATATATTTAAATGCCATTTAACAAAGAAAAATCAACCAAAAAAATGAGTTCACGTGTCACCTCTGACACATGTGTCATAGGTTCGCCATTACTGGCTTAGAGCATCATTTCTCGGACTGAAGAGTCTCGGGTTTGATTGCCAGTTAAGGGCACGTACCTGGGTTGCTGGTTCAATCCCCATCCCTAATCCCGGTGAGGGCATGTGGGAAGCAACCAATCGATATGTCTCGTTCACATCGTGTCTCTCTCTCTCTCTCTCTCTCTCTCTCTCTCTCTCTCTCTCTCTCTCTTGTTCTTCCCTCCCCTCTCTAAAAATCAATGGAAGAAATATTCTTGGGTGAGGATTAACTAACTAACTAAATAATTAAAAGTTGTAGAGTGCAGAAGGGTTAACTTACATTTTCCCCTGTAGAGTGCAGAAGGGTTAACTTACATTTTTCTCTGATATTTCAGAATTCAAACTGACATATGATTCTAATTTCTGTTTTTGAAAATGGTCAGACTTTGTTTTGCTTTCTTATGTATTTTTCACTTCTAGAAATTTTATTGATACCAATGCAAACATATTCTTTGTATTTGCAGGAAACAAATTATGTTTTTATCTTTAAAATAACACTGAAAATTTGAATTCCTTTGTGGCTTCATTGCCCAAATCTTGATGTTAATTTATATAAAATGAGTAGATTTATAAATTTAAACTTTTTCCCTTTTCCTCTAATTATCTGTCTGTGTATGCATGTTGCCTTAATAATAAACTGAAGAAGCTTTTTTTTTTTTAATTGAAGTAACATTGGTAAATGGTAACATTGGTACATTATGTAAATTTCAGATGTACAGCGTTAAAATTTGTTATCTATAAATAGCATGTTCACCACCAAAAGTAGAGTTTCCACCTGTCAGTATACATTTGACCCTTAGTAACCATTTTGCCTCCCCTCCACCTTCTTTCCCCTCTGATAACCACCAATCTGTTGTCCTCATCTTTGAGTTTGTTTTTGTTTGTTGTTTCTTTTTTTTCTTAACATTCTATATGAGTGAAACCATACAATTTTCTATCTGACTTACTTTACTTAGCATAATACTCTCAAGTCTATCTGTGTCGTAAAAGGCAATATTTCATCTTTTTTATGGCCAAGTAGTATTCAGGTGTGTGTGTGTGTGTGTTTGTGCATGCGCACATACCAAATCTTTAGTCATCTGTTGATGAACAGTTTATTCAGGTATCTGTTCTATAGTAAATAACGCTGCAATAAACATGGGGGTACATATGTATTTTTGAATTTGTGTTTTCATAATCTTTTTTTAATAGATATTTTTATTGATTTCAGAGAGGAAGGGAGAGAGATAGATAGAAACATCAATGATGAGAGAATCATTGATCAGCTACCTCCTGCATGCCCCACACTGGGGATCAAGCCCACAACTCAGGCGTGTGCCCTGACTGGGAATTGAACCATGACCTCCTGGTTCAGTCACTGAGCCACACCAGCTGGGCAGTATTCTTCAAACAAATACCTATAAGTGGAATAGCTGGATCATATGGTAGTTCTATTCCTAATTTCTTTTAGGAACCTCCATTACTGTTTTCCATAGTGATTGCACCAATATACAATCCCAGTATCCTATATAATAAATTAATAATATGCAAATTGACCATCACACCCTTTCACAAAATGGCTGCCCCGATGTGGTCAAAAGATGGCGGCCATAAGATGGTTGGCAGGGAAAGGCAGTTGTAGGCGATCAGGCCAGCCAGGAGGGCAGTTAAGGATGACCAGGCCAGCAGGGGAAGGCAGTTGGGGCGACTGGGCCAGCAGGGGAGCAATTACCCATCGATCAGGCTGGCAGGAGAGTGGTTAGGGCAGCTGTGGGCAAACTATGGCCTGCGGGCCGGATCCAGCCCGTTTGAAATGAATAAAACTGAAAAAAAAAAAAAAAGACCGTACCCTTTTATGTAATGGTGTTTACTTTGAATTTATATTAGTTCACACAAACACTCCATCCATGCTTTTGTTCCAGCCCTCCGGTCCAGTTTAAGAACCCATTGTGGCCCTCGGGTCAAAAAGTTGGCCCACCCCTGGGTTAGGGCGTGATCAAGCTGGCAGGCAGAAGCGGTTAGGGGCAATCAGGCAGGCAGGCAGGCAAGCGGTTGGGAGCCAGCAGTCCCGGATTGTGAGAGGGATGTCTGAGGGGTCCCAGATTGGAGAGGGTGCAGACTGGGCTGAGGGACATCCGTGTGTGCCCCCCCCACCCCAGTGCATGAATTTCATGCACTGGGCCTCTAGTCAAGGTATAAGTGTTCCCTTTTCTCCACATCCTCTCTAACACTTATTTCTTAACTTTTTGATAATAGCTATTTTAACAAATATGAGGTGATAATCTCATTGTGGTTTTGATTTGTATTTCCCTAATAATTAGTGACATTGTACATCTTTTCATATATTTGTTGGCCATTTCTATGTCTTTCTTGGAAAAATGTCTGTTCAGATCCTTTGCTCATTTTTTTTTTCCTTTCTTCATTGTATGTTCTTGGCTCCGTTGTTGTAATTTAGCTGTCTGTATATGTGTGTTTATTTCTGGGCTCTCAATTCTGTTCCATTGGTCTATATGTCTGTTTTCCTGTCAATACTATGCTGTTTTGATTACTATTGCTTTGTAGACTAGTTTGAAAACAAGAGTGTGATACTTCTGGCTTAGTTCTTTTTATTCAAGATTGTTTTGGCCATTTAGAGTCTTTTGTAGGTCCATACAAATTTGAGGATGTTTTTGTTCTATATCTACGAAAAATGCCATGGAGATTTTGATAGGGATTTCATTGCGTCTGTAGATTGCTTTGGGTAATATGGGCATTTTTTTAAATACATATTTTTATTGATTTTTCACAGAGAGGAAGGGAGAGGGATAGAGAGTTAGAAACATCGATGAGAGACATCGATCAGCTGCCTCCCACACACTCCCCAGTGGAGATGTGCCCACAAGCAAGGTACATGCCCTTGACCGGAATCAAACCTGGGACCCTTGAGTCTGCCGGCTGATGCTCTATCCACTGAGCCAAACTGGTTAGGGCAATATGGGCATTTTAACATTGTTAATTCTTCCAATTCCTGAGCATGGAATATCTTTCCATTTTTTATGTCTTCAATATTTTTCATTAATATCTTTTATTTTCAGGGTACAGGACTTTCACCTCCTTTGTTAAATAATATTCTTTGGTATTTTATTCTTTTTGTTGCAATTGTGAGATTCTTGATTTCTCTTTTTGATAGTTTGCTAGAAACACAACAGATTTTTACATATTGATTTTATACCCCACAACTTTACTATATTCATTTACTATTCCGAATAGTTTTTGGTGTAGTCTTTAGGATTTTCTATATAAAATCATGGCATCCATAAATAGTTTTACTTCTTCTTTTCCAATTTGGATGCCTTTTATTTCTTTTATTGCCTAACTAGAGGCCCAGTGCACGAATTGGTGCACGGGTGGGGTCCGGCCGACCTGCCCCTGATCGTGAGTGGGGCCAGCTGGGGGAGGGGCATGGGCGGTTGGCTGGCCTGCCCCACCCCCTGGTCAAACTCCCAGTCTAGGGGACAATTTGCATATTAGCCTTTTATTGTATAGGATTGCTCTAGCTAGGCCTTTCAATACTGTTTTGAACAAAAGTGGCAAGAGTGGGCATTTTCGTCCTATTCTTGATCTTAAAGAAAAAGCTTTCAGTTTTTCACCATTGCTATGATGTTAGCTCTAGGTTTGCCATATCTAACCTTTATTATGTTAAGGTACTTTACTTATACATTTTATTGAAAGTTTTTTTTGATAAATGGATGTTGAATCTTGTAAGATGTTTTTTCTACATCTAATGAAATGATCATATGATTTTTATCCTTCATTTTGTATATGTGGTGTGTCATGTTGATTGATTTGCAGATATTGTACCATCCCTGCTTCTCTTGGAATAACTTGAACTTGATCATGGTGTGACATTTTTCTTCTAATATCTTCATTTGCCTATACAAGTTTTGTTCCTTTCCTCCTTCCTTTTTATGTTTTTGTTGTCACAAATTATCCCTTTTTATAATGTATATTCACTATCAAATTGAAGTAGCTATTGTTATTTCTAATCCTCTTTTTCCCTTTAACCTTCATGCTATAATTGTCTAACACTCTAGTCTGTGAAAGAGTTAGAATTTTCTGATTCTATCACCTTACTCAAAGTTTTGTATACTTCTGTGTGTTTTTTTTATTTACAGTAGAACAGCTCCCTTCAACATTTCTTACAAGCCAAAGATGTGGTGAACTCCTTCAGTATTTTCTTTGTTGTTTTTGTTTTTTTTTGTCTGAGAAAGTCCTCATTTCTTCTTCATATCTGAAAGATAACTTGGCTGGTTATATGGTTGTCTGGCAGTTTTTATCTTTCACTATTTTGAGTATGTCATTCCATTCTCTGACCTGTAAAGTTTCTGCTGAGAAACTTTACATAAAGTTCCCTTCCTCTCTGTGAAAAAACAATAAAAATATGTATTAAAAATATGATGAGAGCCTGAGGGGGGTTACTTTATAAGTTACTGTCTTTTCTTCCCTGAATGCTTTAAGAATTCTTATTTTTATCATTGACTTTAGACAGTTTTAATATAATGTGTCTTGGAGACTAGAGGCTGGGTGCACAAAATTTGTGAACTGGGGAGGGGCGTGTCCCTCAGCCCAGCCTGCACCCTCTCCAATCTGGGACCCCTCGAGGGATGTCCACAGGGATCGGGCCTAAACTGGCAGTCGGACATCCCTCTCACAACCTGGGGCTGCTGGCTCCCAATAGCTCACCTACCTGCCTGCCTGATTGCCCCTAACCACATCTGCCTGCCAGCCTGATCATCCCCTACACACTCC